TTTGAGTTATTGCCGTCACTTTATGTTAGGGGCTGTTTAGTCTTTGCATTTTTTCCCCTTATTTGTTTATTTATTTTTGGTCGATCTGCATGTTTTTTGCTGGCTTAAATAAGGTAATTAAGGACACTACTGATTCCAATTGTGATTCATCGTGTATCTTTATATATTCTGAGTCTTTTTCATTGATTTCATTGTTGTTTCTTTGTGTTTTGACAAGGATTACTGCCTCTTCATTTTTTAGTCTTCGGTTTTCATTCGATTTTTGCTATGGATTCTCCAGGTGTGTAGTGTACCCGTCTAGTGGTAAGAAACAACTGTTTGAATCGTTTTGTGGTACTTCGCCCGATGACCAAGGTGATATTCATCCTCATCCTCTCTCTAATAACAAGGATTGTGGCAAACGTTTCAAAAGTACTAGGGAGTTAGCTGTCAAGAAGTCTAGACGTCGTCAACGACAATGTCAAACATTTGAAAAGTATGGCCATAATAGTCGTACCTGCCCGATGCGCAATGAAAAAATATGAGCAAAGGGTCACAATGGACTTTTAATTTTATTTTAGTTTAAAGACACTTCTATATGTTTTAATTCTCCATGCACTTGCTTATGTTCTGCATTTTCGTGTGGTATTAAAATATTGGATGTGTTTTTTTATGTTAAAGTTTATTGAAAATTGAAATAGACGAAACCAAATTTATCCGATGCGTTGTGTTTACAATTTCTCCCATGCTTGTGTTTTACAATTTCTCCATGCGTTGTGTCTACTCTCGTCGTTTCCTTTGTTATTAAGATAATGATTTAGAATGCGCCTTGTGGTATTCTTTATCTTTTTATTTTTCGTTAAATTCTCTTTTTGCGCACTGCATACGTTTGTCGCACAAACAGTTGCTGGATAGGTACTCAAACTTGCACAATGGCATACTCTATAATTGCACACCATGCTGCACCCTGAATTTTAGGGAAACACATCCTGGTCTAATACTCTATTGGTATGTTTTTATATTAAAACTGCATTTACATAATTACTTAGGTTGCACATATTGTTCTCTCTAAATCGTTAAGATTTGCAATGCTTATTAATTAATCGTTGCACAACTTCTTAACAGTTTAATTACCATTTAGCCAACCTTTGATCACTATCAACTACACTTAAAATTACATTAGTACAAACATCGTCGTTGCACATACCGGGTCTGGGGGATATGTCGTATTTGCACACTGTCCTACACCATCGATGCACGAATCCTAAATATTGAATATCCATTCATCGTTAACAAAATTTCAATTTTAGCAAATTTGAATTTGTATTAAGCCTCAATCATTATCCGCATGTTTTTGTGTGTAGTTTTGCCACTGTCTTTCAGTAACAGTAATGCTAAAACTGTTTAAGCTCAAATAAATTAATGCACATTAAATTGAATAAATAGAAACCTCCTTGTTGCACAAGTCTACTAGAAATTTATCTTTGGTTGCACATTAGACTACTTCATTGATTAATTACTTCTAAAGCATGACTAAGCATTTCGCGAAACTTTAACAAAAAAATAGTTACTAGCAATTTTAAATTGTCTAGTAGTATGGTACTTTACGTTCGTCGTGCCTCTTGAAGTCATCAAAAACTAATGTCGAAATTCGCATCAAACCGCTTAACTCTCTTCTATTGCACCACATCATCATTGCAATCATTTTCAGCTGTTATGGTAAGTTGGTAACTACGTAGTCTACATCTGTTGTGTGAATTCTCCATCCTCAAATATTGGTGAGCTTGTGAGGTTTTTACCGTGATGCTCATTACACTCGCTCAGTAGGATGTCCTTCATGTACTTCATTCTCAATGCTTCTATTGTGGATTTGTCTCCTTTGCTTAGGCCGCACTCCCAACTCGTAGCTCGCTCTCCAATGAACATCTCCATGTGCCTCACTGCAAACACTCCACTATCCAAATTTTCATTTACGTCCCTCCTTCGCATTTGCATTCTTTTTTGTTCCATCTTCAGTATTTCTGCTCCCCTTTTATGGTCTTTCATATCATCTATGAAACAACCCGGCATGTCTTTATGATTTCATAAGATATTTGTAGTAAAAAACTCAAGGCCATCTCACCATATTTCATTAGGTAAAACACTAGCTGAAGTCTAATTATTTTCAAGATGCACATCAGTCACTGTATTGCACACTAAATATTATTCTAAATGCAAACTGTTTCTAAATGTCGATGCTCATTATACTATCCTTTACCATATTCTCATGTTCCAGTTTTACATCACTATACTTTTCTTACTTTTTTCCCTACGTATTTGTGCATTCTTTGTATTTGTACTATCTCACAACTAACCACTTCTCAGCCAATACAGTCTCACACTCCATCACATACAGTCCAATACTTCCACCCGTATTATGGTTCCTCTTATTCAACCAGTTTAAACATCCCTCATAAAAAGCAGAAAAAAATCTGGACTGGCGAAAAAAAATTGAAAAAAATTGAAAAAAAAAATAAACCTCCAATTTTTTTTCTTTGAATCCACCCCCTTGTTCCCACTCTCATTTTTCCGCCCTCACCCACCGGCAACACTCCAACGGAGTCCAAGCCAGTCGCGCCAATCAACACCCATGATCGGTCAGTTTTTATTCTCCAAAAAAATAAAATAAAAAAATCACACAATAGCAATGACTACAAACATGCAACTTCACAAACATTCAATCCAATTTTGCAGGCAATCGCTCAAAATAAAAAACATAATCAACAAAAATATAAAAAATTTTGCTTACGGAGTCTACTCATTGCCTCAATTGATGCACACCGTTGACTTCTTATTGGTGTTCCGTCCGCCATAGCTCCTGATTGTGTAGTCACCCCTACCTCTTCAACAAGTCGCCGCTTTGTGCGTTCGTTTTCCTCTCTAGTGATTGTGCAATGCCAATACCAACCCTAGAGTTCCGTATTTTAACTCTACGCGTAAATATCTGGAGAATTCGTTCCTTCTTTTTTTCTTTTGCACGAACAATTAATTAACTACCCTTTTACGCCTTATATTAATTATTACTACTACAGTTACTTGTCTGATTTACTGCCCTTTTAATTTCTCTACTTGTGCAATTAGCGCCATTAGATGTCCTGATCTGATGGCTGCAATTCGTCCACAGTCCTCACCTAATACCCTAACCTCACTTGAACCTCACCCTATATATATATATATATGTATAACCGTAATTGTATTGTGATTCAAATGTAGTGTGCCTTACAAAGAGGAACTACCGAATATGGCTATTATGTGATGAAATTCATGTTGAAATTAAAATTGTTTCCAACGAACTATACGAAGGAATGAATAAGGCAAATAATTTAATAAAATATCTTTCTCCTTTAAATTTTTGAGAATACTGGCTTATTTATTATTTATCTCTTTTCAACTTTGTAGAATTTTGAGAGGCAAAGAAGATTGTCCTACAACCAATTAACAAGAGATTGATGAAGTTAGAGACGCATGATCTAAGTTGCTTATTAATGAATGAGTTAAGTTTCAAATTATTATTATTAATTACTATAAATTGTAGAATTACTATTAATTTAACTTCTTTAGTTGATGGTCTAAGTTGCTTATTGAGATTAATTGTGATATTTATTAGTTTGATTAAATGATAAATTTATTATCTTGATCAATTGTAAGATTTTGAATTTCAAATTGTTGCACAATTTTGAAAATTGTTGTGAATTGTAAAATTGTATAAGTTTTAGTTGGAAATCATAAAATAAATTTAATAATTAAAAAACTATAAACGACATTGGGTTCTTAAGCAAACAACGACGTATAATAAAATTTTAAAAAATAAAAAACATAAACGACGTCAGGTTTTTATGAAAATCCAACACCTTTTTTTTTTTTTTTTTTTAACTAAATTAACACACGACGTTGGTTTTTTTGGAAGAACCAACGTCGTATGTTATTTTTAATTTTTTTTTAAATAAACGACGTTGATGTCGTTAATTTATTAAAAATTATTAAATTAATTTACAAACCAACGTCATATGTTAATTTAATTTTTTTTTTAAATAAACGACGTTGATGTCGTTAATTTATTAAAAATTGTTAAATTAATTTACAAAAACCGACGTCGTAGGTTGATTTAAAAAAAAAAAAAAATACGACGTCGATTTTTTGTAATCGACATCGTATCTTTTGCTTATTACATCTACTAGAATGGTGTTGGAAAAATTCAACATTAAATGTGTCAAAAAATTGAAGTTTTTTTTTTTTTTTTTTTTGAATGCTAACTCTATTACATTGTAGTACCTGTTTAAACATACACATACTTTCTCAACCTACACAGAATCAACAACGCCTCCACAGGTCACTACATGCCATCTGAGTACAAGGTTAAAAGTGTTATTTGTAATAATGGTATCATCATTAATTAATTGGATATAAACTTTTACCATGCCATGTTTATCAACATTCTTTATACTTGATACCATGCACCCCAAATAAAGAATAAAGGCATTGAGTTTGTCAAGATACAAACTCGATCAATGACTTTCCAAAGTTTTAAGACTTCAAAGAGGCTATTTTGCCGATCAAACCATAACCTTTTCCTAGAATAGATATACAAAAGTTAATGTAAATAAATATTGAGTTCCTTATCTCTTCCTTAACAGCTAGCCCACCCGCCCACGGCTTCCCTCACCGCTACTGAAAGCTAGCGGTGCGATTGCTACCTGCAACACCAAACGGCTTTCTTTAACGCATGAAGGAAGCCAATTCAAACACATTTCTCCATTCTAATCCTGAGAAACAAACAAAGAGCGAGCAACGTCACCCGCCATGCACGCCAAACAGCTGAGGATGCCTTCTACTACTACTACGTGATTGTTTGGCCAACTCCAATCCCTCTTCAAAACCCAACACTCTCATCATCCTCAGCCTCTGCATTGCGAGAAATCCATCCACCAAGGCGTCCTTGATCAGCTTAAATTTTTCTTTCCTTCACCCACTCTTTGTAAGAAATGGCTTCTCCATCCGCTCAAATTCAACTGGCGCAAATCCCACCCAGCAGCTCCAACACCAACCTGCGTTCCCGGTCAATAACGGTCGAGCCGGATTTGGAGCCCGGTTCATCAGTTTGTTGCAGAATCTGCCTCGAAACTGACTGCAGACAAGGTGATTGATTTGATTTAAGTAGTCTACTATGTGCAGCATTTTCCTGTCCAGTAATACTACATCTACTCCTCTCATGTCTTGATTGATTGATTAAATAAAATAAATGTTGGAGTGTTGGGAAAGGTCGGTAAAGGTAGGTCAAAGTCTAGCACCTGGATGCTGAGAAATTGTTGGACGGAGGCCAGTAAAGGACTAAGTCCAACACCGAGCATTTCGTCTCGAAAATGTGATGGCAGTTTAAAGAAATAAAATTGTGTCTTCGTGCTATAGCTTTTGACTTGAGTGGTAATAAGCACTTGATATTAACAATAACACATGACGAGGATATATTCCATGGGAGTACATCTATCATCTAGCATTTTCCTTGCTTGTCTTATGCATCCTTTTCCTCTATCCTAACGCTTCTTTTCCCTGCAGGTGATGAACTCATAGCTCCTTGCCTCTGCAAGGGCACGCAGGAGTTCATTCACAGAGAGTGCTTAGATCACTGGAGATCTGTAAAAGTGAGCAATTTCTATTCCTACATATATACATTAATTCTTGTAATTCAAGAGTTCTGATCTAATGCTTGTTTATATATTACTGTATTGCAGGAAGGTTTTGCTTTCACCCACTGCACCACATGTAAAGCAGCGTTTCGATTAGAAGTGAAAGAGGTGAAGTTTGACATTGTCACAAGAATAAAGCACAAGCTCTTTGTGGTCAGGGACTTTTTTCTTCACTTCGTGATTGCACAAATAGTAAGTATATATAATATAATGTTTTTTGTTTTTTTCCTTCTACATTTTCCTAGCTTCATCATCTCTTTGTTGTTTCATCCTAGCTAGCTAGCTTATTAGATGTACCTATGGTTCTTATGAGTTCTTATTCATGCACCTGTTTTCTTCCCAGCTAATTGCCGTGCTTGGTGGCTATGCATACATGATGGATTATAAGGGATTCATTCAAAATTTTGTTGACAAATATTTCACCTTCTTGTCTTCCCAACCTTCTATTTCCTTCTACTACAGCATGGGTAAGCATAATTTTCACCTCTAACTTTATTGATGAAAAGATGCAAAAGTACTTAGAGCATCACTAATAGTTGTAGTTAGCATCACTAATAGTTGTAGTTTTTGAAGAGTTTTTGCTGGTGTGACTAGAAAAGACAAGATGAGAATGAAGAGAAAAAACAAAATCTGTAAAGCAATATGTATAAACAGATTAACGCGCCCAGTGGGCGTGTGGAGTGCACATGCCCAGCTGGGCACATCTGTACGCCTCAAGCCCACTAGGAAGCTTCCTTGCTTTTCTGGTGGGCCCTACTTTTCCTGCAAAAATCAAGACTCTCCTGCAGCAACCAATTTTATTCTCTCTCTTCTGATCTCCCTCTCTCTTCTACATAGGCTTGCTCTCCTCAAAAATCACATAAAAAATCATTGATTGGAATGCCCTTAAGTTGAGACTAAAATAAACTTCTGCTATTTGATTATCTTTTGTGGTAGAGTTAGAGTCTCGATTCTCTCTCGTTGAAAGGTCATCGGTGTTACTGTGTTAGCAGCTTTTCTATCTAACTGTTGATGATGTAAATGAAACAGGTGCACTGGGTTTCCTTATCGTCTTGGGATGTATTTGTTTCATATCAAGTTGCCTCTGGCTTGCTAATTTGGACGGATGTATAGCCGGCGGCCAAAACTGTGTCCTGGCCATGTTTATGTGGAATTTTATACATGCTGCAACTGTCATGATATTTATCATATATGTCTTTGCTTTCTGTGGTGTTGCATATGGTTTATTTCTTGCTACCACGGTTGTACATAAGAGTTGGCACATGCACTATCAAATCCTTATCAAACGAAATCTTACCAAGGTTTAATCCTTCAACTTTGACGTGACAATAAATTTTCTTTCAATAGACATATCAAAGTCCATTTAAACAGCCCGTTATTCTTGTTTCAATTCGTTCTCTTAAATGGTGTAGGTGTACGTAGTGGTGGATCAGCATGGCCATTACACTCCGCGGACACTAGACCCCAGACATGAGCAGCACCTTCACTCTCTTAATCTTTTGTAGATCGATGAAGATATTTGAAGGCTTTAATATGATGTACATACCTTGCTTATTTCATTTGTATGCTTTTGGAGTTTTGTCCCCATTGTATATTTTAATCTTTGATATATAGTGAAATGAATTGTTTCTTCATTGTTTTTATGTTTTAACCTTATTTTGCAATACAACGTACTATTGAATACCAACTCATCATATGGTTTCCTTATTTATTCTTATCCCAAAAGGTTAAATCTCCAACTCAAGGGCTTCTTGCACCCAGCTCACCGAGCATTTGGAATGATGTAAATTATAGTGACAATGTCAAATGTCTGTGCACAAGGGAAATAAATAAAACTGGATTATACCAATGAATTGTTTTCCTTTGAAAACATATAACATCTTAATTTGTAATAAATAGAAAGATTGTGTGAAAGAAACAAAAACTAACCAACATCACCCACCACTTATGATGATGCCTTTTAATGCGAGCTTGGTCTTCAAAGGCAAACACTCTCAATCTTAGACACTGTTAATTAGGAAAATGCTCATTAAGAATGCTAACTTGTATCTTTTCCAAAATTAATTTTAAATGTTCTATTTAATGAAATAATAACAACGAGCTAGCATGGCAATACTAGCTATAAACAAGAGTAGATAGCAACCCCGACGATGCCTGCATTCTTATTTTTAATAGTATTGTTTAGATTTTTGATAATCATTTTATCATTTTTAATTTACTTAACAAATTTTTTTTCTATATATTTGACTATTATGATGAAATAGTAGTGTAGACACAGAAAATTTGAATCCAACAAATGGACTAATAAATGGTCGGTGGACCGACGTTAAGATCAAATGTTGGGCCAATTTAATTAATTGGATCATATAAATTAATTTAATTTAATTAGCCCAATTAGAATTTGATTTGGGCTATTGAATTAATTAATTAATTCGCCCAAGCCCATTTCATATTTGAATTTAAATTATAATTATAATTTAAATATAATATTAATTTTATTATATTTGAATTAGATAATTATAATTTAATTTGAATTTGAATTAGATTATACAATAATGAACCTAGACTTGATTCTGGGCAAGGTTCATTTTCTAGAATAATTAATTAATTAATTAAAGGGGGAGTTTGTTGAGGAATGTTGGTTAGGCTTCTAATATAAATAGAGCCTTCATTTTCATTCCAAAACACACTTGAAAGCTTGAAGAACTTGAAAGCTTGGACAACTTGAAGGCTTAGAGCTTGAGGGCATTGAACAACTTGAAGACTTTGAGGAGTTGAGAGCATTTGAAGAGCTTGAAGGCATTGAAGAACGTTTGAAGATTTGAAGGCATTTTTGTTGATTTTGCAGACAATTTGAATCCATTGCAGGTACTTTGGAGCTTTGCAGAATTGATTGTCTCGAAGATCTTGAAGTATTTTGAAGGCATTTGAGGACCTTAAGGCAACTTGAATCCATTGCATGTGTTTTGAAACTTTGCAGGGTTGATTACTTCTAAATTCTTGACGTTCGTTGTTGAAAGTCACGCCAATTGAATCCCGGAAGCTACGTCAATTAAATCCTGGAGGCTACGCTATTTGAATTCCGGAGGCACTTCAATAGATAACGTCAGTGAAGAATCAGAGGACTAGACAGAGATTTTATACCTGCACTTTAAATTATACACACGCTGTACACGAAATTTTGTGAATATATACAAAGTTTACGTTTTGTGTTTACAGATTTTGGCACGCCCGGTGGGAAACGACCTTATATTCAGACTACAAATTATCAAAATATATGGGCCCAAACATAATTTTGGCACGAGTTTAAACGGCCTTATATTCAGACTCCTTGGTACGAGTTTAAACGGCCTCATATCTTTCAAGGCTCCTTGGCACGAGTTGAAACGACCTTATATCTTTAAGTTGTAGTGTCGAGACTTTCTTGCACTACATACTTTCGAGTGTTATATGCGTCCAGCAGTGCGGCTGGCGGCCATTTTCTGGGTCGTCTGGTTAGCCCGCAACGAGATGGTCTGGCGGAGAATACACCGGACAGTGGAGGTGGCGCTGGACCAGATTGGAGCTCTGAGGCCTTTTGGGAAACAGCTTTGTCACGCACGACACAAGGCGAGCAACACAATTCTGACCCAGTGCAATGGGAACCACCGCCTACGAATACTCTCAAGTGTAACGTGGACGCGATAGTGTTTCATGATGGTGCGGGCTTTGGAGCTATTCTCCGTGATCACGGTGGTAGGTTCGTGGCAGCCACTAGTGGCAGAATTATAAATGAACGAGACCCTTTCATGGCGGAGGCGCTTGCGGCCAAGGAGGCTCTGACGTGGCTCAAGGATACTAGACAACGTAACATCATACTTGAATCAGATTGTCTTTTATTTTGTAACGTTTTCAATTCTCGTTTTCATGATTTTTCTTATGTTGGTTTGATTATTAAGCAATGTCTATTAATTGCTAGGGACATAGGGAACGTTACCGTTCGCCATGTCAAGAGGTCAGCGAACCAAGTGGCTCACGTGTTAGCTAGGGCAACTGGTTCTATGTCTGTCTCAGGATCGTGGGACGTTTACCCACCTACATGTATTTCCCATTTGCTAAATCGTTAATGAAGTTTCTTTGTTTTGTTCAAAAACAAAAAAAATAGTTTCTGTACTTGTAAACAAATTGAAAGCACATAACATGGACACATTAATTGTTAACAGAAGGTACAAAATGCGTTAACTGCGGGTACAAAATATGTTAACTGCAAACATATTAGATGTTGGTTACATATTATGTGTCTGCAGTTAATATATCACGTACCTGCAATTATTACTTAACAGTTTATGTATATGTAGTTATTGTTATGTGACTTCAGATCACTTTGTTTACAGGTACAGTTGACTGCATGTACAAAATGTGTCACATTATTTTTGAACAAGAGTTCACAATGCAATATAAACAATCCTGATCCATGCCTCCATGGTATAACAATTGTGGCTTTACTGCTTTAGGAGGTTATGGGGGCCATTGAATTGTCTAGTGACAATGTCCCCTCTTTTCTCTATTTTCTGGAGTTAGGCTATCATTCGAAACATAGTCACTTGGAGTTGGACTGTCACTCGAAGCTCAATCATATCTATCCTCCCTTTTTTCTGGAGTTTAACTCTTGATTCGAAGAAGAGCATTTTCATACAACCTTAGGATTGTATCAAAATCTACAACGAACATGGAGGATTAGAAAAAAGGAAAATAGTCGGAGTGTGGGGGGCCCTTAGGGTTGGGGATTCAGCCTTGGGGTAAGAAAAAGGAAAATAATAAAAATAATATCTAATAAAAGTAAATATCCTTAGTAACACTCCAACACTCTCAAAGGGGTCGTTTGATTTACGAAATGTCAAATTACTTTAAGAAATGTTAAATCGTTGGGAATATTATATTATATTTTTGTGTTTGGTTAAAACTGACGTAAGCAATATAAATATGTTTTTTTGGGGGTTATCTTTTATGTTATAGTGATTATTTTATTTTAATATCCTTATCATTTTTTTTTTCAATAAACTTCAAAATTAAGGCTACGAACATTAAATATAAAACGGAATGACATGGTTAGAAGATAAGGCAATGATTTAATGGTAAAATGAATAAAAAATTTAAGGGAATCTAAGACGATTACAAAAGAGAGGTAAGGTATCACATTCCCTTCAACATGGATAAAAATATGATGTGGAGGTGAAGGTGTATTCCCTTAAAAAAATGTGATAACTTGAATCCAAACATAAAAATGTTATATGATCAAGCAAAGATAACATTTTATTGTCTTAAATAACTTGAACCAAATACCCCTCAAAGTTCCAAAACATATCGATCCAAAAATTTTTAGAGTAAGGATGGCAATGTGCCCCGTCCCTGATGGAGATCCCCGATCCCCGTCCCAAAAGAGACGGGAATAGAGAAAATTTTCGGAGAACGAGGACGGGGATGAGGAATATGTGTGATTCCCAGTCGGGA